CCCTGGGGAAGGGGTAGAGGGAATCACCGGGGGAGACTTTTATAATACTCCTTTCTTTTTTCTCTTTTTATCTTATCTTCGTTGTTGACACTCTTACACATGTCCCCCTTTTTCTCCTCCTTCGCCCCCTCCTCCTAGCCCTCACGCCAGCTGGGCTGAATCAGAACCCTGAGATGGGGCACAGACATGTGTAAGGTGCTCCAAGCCTCCCTGGGAGGTCCCGCTGTGCGTTCCTGGCCAATACCGACTGCGCGGTCCCCAGCTACGGGGCAGCCCTAGGGAAACACTCTCTCTGCCTGTCACTGTCATCATGTCACCACCATCGGAGCTACTGAAAAGTGCAAATTTGTTGGACTTGTGATATCTACATTTATGTTGACAAATACATCAAGAGCCGGGAAGCTGGGAGGCTCAACAAGCTTGTGTCGGCGGTGGGCAGAGCTGTGTTTGACACGGGAATTTTGACAGCCTGAGCTCGGCGACAGACTCCCCTGAGCCAACGATGCCAGCCTTCGGCTGTCTCTCTGAATTTCCCTTTCTTCCTCTGAAAGGTGCATGTTCCTCAATCCAGGGCGAGACTTGGGGAAAGAGGAGGAAGAGGAGAGGGCAGCTGGGTCTGAAGGTGTTGCCCTCATTGCCCCAGGGACCCCTCGATGCACCCCTGGCTGCCAGGATTCTCTCTAGTCTCCTGCCTGCAGCTCTACTGATCCCAGGCCAGTGAAGATTTGAGACGCAGGACAGAGGTGGAAGGGGCCTCAGGGAGACAAGTGTGCCTTGCGTGCTAGCCTGCGGACCAAGCTCCAAGCAGGACACAGTGACATGAAGGTGCCGTCTCTTGTGCCAACACAGCACATGTGCCTGGCGGAGCCCTCTCAGGGGTGCACATGCCACCATGTTCACGAGTTATCACCCACGCTCAGTCCAGCAAAGCCAGTTGGTTCATTGCTGGGTGTCTCCCTTGTCGGGGTTATGGGGAAGTCATTCAAAGGGGGGCAGGTCATCGGTTTCATAGCCTGCGTGCTTTCTCCCTGCACTGTCCCAGTGTTGGGTGCCCTCTGCCCAGCACCCACTAGAAACCGTGTCTGAGAGAGTCACCCTTGAGGACATCAGGGCCTGGGGCCTGGTACTGGATGTCTGGCCCACCGTCCACCAGACCCCACCACGTGTTGTCCATCTCAAGTCTCCGAGCAGGTTTTGCACACCAGAGTTCTGGGTTTGGGAATTCCAGGTACCTCTCTGCAGAGAGCCAGAGTTATGGTCTGGGTGGGTCAGACCACGCTGCAGTGACGATAACCCTGCACGCTCAGGGCACGCACCGCGGAAGCCGGGTGTGCATCTACGCAAAGGACACTCCACGGGTCAGGAGTTTAGGGGGCGAGTCCTAGGAAGAGGGATCCAGGAGTCCTTCCATCCGTGATTCTCTCAGCTTGAACGTTCTCTGAGCCGCCACACAGAGGAATGGACAGTCTGGAGCCTCACACAAACTACTTTTCAGGAAGGAGCCTGATGTATCCCACTGGCTGGAGCCTGACATGTGGCCCCGAACTAACTGCACGGGACGCTGGGAGGCTGGGAGGTGTGTCTTCAAATGTGCTGTTCACAGGACACAGGACCGGGGAGGATCCGGCCAGTCTCTGCCACCACTGTCACTCGGATCACCAACTGCTTCTCTCTTCATCCCACACCCGGAACAGCCTCGTGTGAAGGGAGCTTTCCCCTGCGCTCACGGCGCCCTGTTCCAACCGTGAGATTTCTGAGAAACCAGAGGTGGGGCAGCCTTCTGTCTGGAGGTGGCTCCTCTTAGCCCGGCAACCGATGGTTGTGAGTGAGCTGTCCCACCGGCCTGCCAGGGTGGAAGTGGGGGGGATGGACACCCCCGGAGCGGGAAGAAGAATGGGGACTCAGAGCAGCCACAGGCCTACGGCAATCGGAAGTCCCGCTGTGCTGGGAGTGGGACGGGCTTCTTCACTCGGGACAGATTCTGCTGCTGGTTGGGACTCCTGGGTCCATTTCCCAGGATCCAGGGACCCTGTGCTTCCTGGGCCTGCCCTCTGGGAGGTGCACGGGGGCAGTGGGGAGCACAGTCCTGGGGACACGTGGTCAAAGCCCACTGCTCTCTCTCAGGCAGGGGAGGACCAAATGTTGGGATTACTCCCTAATAGTCTTGAAGTCGAAGCTCACGGTTTTGTCAATATAGCCAAACTCAGCATGTGGCTGGCCTCTCTGTTTCTGGCCTCTTCTGGGTGCTCTTAAATCCGCTTCATTTTTTTTAAATTTTATTTTCTTTCTTTCTTTTTCTTTTTCTTTTTTTTTTCCTCTGGGTCTGTCTATATAAATGAGATGGAGGCTGACTTGAAACTTTCTGGGTCGATATGGAGGAGATTTGAGACATTAATCTGATTTCTGCCCAGGGTCACTGTCACTTCATTCAACTGAGTTTTCCTAGGATCTCACTCAGAAGTGTGTTTCGTCTCCATGGCAATCTTAATGTTTGTGTTCAAAAAGAAACAGGCTTTTCCCAGTCTGCCCGTCACCGCATTTCTGCACAGACCTTCTCCGCTGCTGCTCCTGCTTGAAGGACAGCGGGTCTTCTCTGTGCTGCCCTGTTCCTTGTTACCGCTCCCTGAACATGCCGCAGGCAGTGCAGACTCGTGGCTGAGGCCCACTTCCAGGCCCCTGGCCCCCGCATGGCCACAGTCACGGCTGAGTGGGAGGAGCTACCAGCTTCTACGGGGGAGGGGCCAGGAATGCCGCTGGGAGTCCCTGGGCCTCGGGGCGCGGCAGGGCACCTGGGAGCAGCACAGGTGTGCAGAAAGGAGATTTGGGGTGATCGACATCACGTCTCCAGCCTGCTGATCTAACCTGCGATTCTGGACTATCACACGAGACCATGCCTTAAAATAAGTAAACCTCTCTCTGAGATGCATGTGTCTGTGTACACCCACATGCCACCCATTCTGATTCTCTAGAGAACCTGGACTAACCCAGCAAGCAGGTGTGGAGCGCCCCCCGCTGTCCAGGTGGGGTCAGAGCTGCCACAGCACCTGCAGCAGAGAGGGCTCCAGGATGACCTCATCTGGTCCTTTTCCCACACGATGGGAAACTGAGGCCCAGAGAGGGCACGCTTCCGACTCAGGGTCACACAGCAGGTTGGTGCTGAAGCCAAGAACAGAACCACATGGGAGTCCTTCCCTTTGACTTCCTGCCCACGTGACCACACTGGGGCTCTTGGAGTAACCTTTGATTGAATTATTATTCGATTTAAGTATGTGGATCAACAAAAAGAAGTATAATACCAGCAGAGGGCTTTGTGGAGCACTTTGATGCCTGGCTCTAAGCTCCAGGCTCTTATGTGCTTATTCGTTTAATCTCAGCCGCCCCGCCAGGCAGGCATTAGTACCCTTCTTCACAGACAAGCCACGAGTCAGAGAAGAAATAATTCCCCCAGGGCCCAGCTGCTGGCCCTGATCAGGGGAGACGCAAGCCCTCACCCCAACTCTAAATCCGAAGTCTGGGAAGGGGGACCCAGGGAGAGCGGGGCTCACGACAAAGGGATGTGGCGCTTCACGCGCCCCTCACCTTCCCCTGCTGTGTGATTTGTCTGGCCGGTCAGCTCATTCTGCTCTGAGACACGCGTGTCTGAAAGGCCTCGGCACGGACAGCCTTGTTTTGCAGGGAAACACCTGCTCTCCAGCCCCTGAGCTGAGGCTGCAGTCTGTTCGGATTCCAGGGGGTTCGGGGGGGATTCGTTGATGCTTGGGGCTTCTGGGGGATTTGGAGGCAGCGCCCTCGGGGCCGGCAAGGGTGTGTAGTGGGGAGGGGTCGTATTCTTTGCCTGGCTGCCCTGGCCCAGTAGGAAGGAGGGGTGGGCGCTGCACGGAGCCCCCAGCATTGGATGGGGTCCAAATGGGGGGGTGTGTGGGAGAGAAACACGTCCTGAAGACATGCCATTGAATGGAGCTTTAACAGCAAGTTCACAGCTGAGCCCACAAATAGGCTATTTTATCTGACGCTGGTAAAAGGCACGGATGTCTTCTTTGACACATATCCCCCAAAACATCCAAGAAAAAAATTACTTAATAAAAATGCTATTGTTCCACATGCCTGGTAGGAGTCTATTTCTGTGCAGTTTTTACACATTTTAACTCCTGAAATCCTCTCTAAGGTACAGGTGTTGTCCCATTTTGGAGTTGAGGAGCCTGAGTTTTGACGAGGGTGAGGGAGTGCCCCCCATGTCACACAGGGTTTAGCACAGTGGGAATCTGCAACCAGAGCCTTCTCACTGTCTGCCCATGGCAACAGTCTCAGAGGGGCAGACGTGGCTGGTCATCCCAGCCGAGACACAGGGACCCCTCGCCCGCCACCCCACGCCAGGCCGAGGGGCTCTGAACAGTCCCCGGGGCACGCCCACATCCCCCGAGATCCCTGTCTGTCCCTCTGCGGGGACAGAATGGAATGTCCGTGTGGCTCAGCTCCGTCACCACCCAGCCCTCCACGTGAGCACGACTCACACACGGGGTCAGTCCTCGGTCCCACACCTGTCGCTACGGCCCTGGGAAGGTGCTGAGTATTAGCAGCCTCGCTCCACAGGTGCAGAAACTGAAGCTCAGAGAAATGAGCAAAGGAGACACGAGCCAGGTTGTGAAGCCGGCTGAGGTCCAACCAGCTGCCAAGGCAACCACGCGCTCAGGGGAAGCCGTGCACAACAGGCCCGTGACCCCCAGACAACCGTATCCTTCAAGGCACCACGTGGAGGAGGCTCTGTATGAAGACCCTTTCCCCTCTAGCACCGGCCCCAAGGCCTGGCCTTTGGAATGGGTCTGATGAATGCAGCAGCGACGAAAGAAAGGAATGGATGGGTCCATGACAGGCAGGGGACACACAGAGCAAAGAACCTCTAAGCGGGACATTGAATAAATAACGCCAGAATCTCACGGGACACACACCCCCTGCAAAGCGAAGTTTGCAGGTCCTGGTGCCCCCACCCCCTCGAATGTTACCTCCGAGGAAGTCGGCTTGCAGTATCCGGCTCCGAAGACCAGGTTTTCCAGAGAGAGGCTAGACTGTTCGGGTCCCACGTCTGGGCTGCCCTTACCGAGCCAGGAGCCTCTTCCCGGACGAGTGAAACTGAGGAGGAGAGATCAGAAGAGGGAAGACACGGAATGGAGAGGGTGACGGCGCCCCAAGTCCGCCCCCTTGGGGGGGGGCGCCTACAAGAGAGGCCCCGTAGCAGGGGGAGTTCTAGTAGGGCCGTGGGCGTCAGGGACTGCCGTCCGTGGTGTCCATGGTGGCTGGAGACACTGTCGTGTGCCCCACAGACCAAAACAGACCCTGTCCAGTCCCGTAAGTCACCACCGAGATCAGCCGACCGGGTGTGACAGTGGCCATCAAAGGCAGCCCCCAAGGAGACTGGGGTCACTGGCAAGATGACCTGAATTTATCTCATTTGGGTGTATGACTGCCCCCTTTACCTTTTTAATTCTCATCAATCGACACACTGACAAAGTCTCCTTGCACTCAGTTCCTCTTTCTTTCCCATCTCTTCTGTTAAATACCCTGATGGTCATCGTCCTACGTGGTAAACACTACGGACGCACACGCCTCATTCCCCAGGCAGATGCCGGGTCTCTCGCGGCAAAGACCCAATAAGCAACAGCCTCCGACGGCGGCACCCCCAGCGCAGGTGCCCAGGAAAATCCCGTGGACGGTTTTGATCCATTCTTCTGCTCACTGCACTCACTCAGACTTTCCTGAGGCTCACGCCATGTGCCAGGCAGTGAGTAGGTGCTGAGGTGGCAGGACCGTCAAGGCGTGGCCCTCACGGTGAACACAGTCTGGTCTAGAGAGTGGCAGGTGTGACGGGAGGGAGGTGAACCCAGGCCAGCGAGCACAAGGTGGTTCATGAGCCAAACTAGGGGAACAGGATGGCCAGACGGAGCTGCCACTCAAAAGGAGCATGGCCAGAGGGTTAAAGGCAGCTGGTGAACCCCACCGGCCAGGGCTCGGCCCCCGGAGTGGCCCCTGTCACCTCTGGGACATGGGCACAGTTTGTAAATGTCCTCATGTCCCTGTTCCTGTGGGGTCACTGCAAGGGTTTCATGAGGTCAGACAAGCCTAGCTTCCAGTCCTGCATCTGGCAAATAGCGAAGACTCAATAAATGCTGGCATTTATTGTCGAAATATCACACACATAACACAATCTAATGTAATCATCGTTATACTTACACAGCTACTGTTGATCTGATTTGTTTCTAATGGAGATTTGAAGCAAGCGTTCAGCTTAGCTAGAAGGAACGTTCCAGAAGCCGTATAGAATATATCTGAGCAGTGATACATAGGGCACATTCTGGGGCCAGACTGTGAATTAACAACTAAAAAGACTCACTATTTGACCAAGGCATGGTCTAAAGTAGATTTTTCAGTGGATCTGAATCCCTCGACTGAAATCCCAGGAGGGTTAAAAATTGGATGCTTCTCTTCAGTCTGCTCCGGGGAAGGGAAGGTTCTTTAGAGGTTATGTTTCAATTTCACACCTGCTTCCTTCTGGTTGGACTGAATTGATGCCTCGAAAATGGCTTTGCTAGAAAACCTGGAGCTGGCCCCGTTTGACAGGTATTTCCCCCAACCTTGCAGGCTGCCCTGTGTTCCCGCCACGGCACAGAGATGCTTCTGGGAAAGAACAGAGGGAGCAGGAGACAGCTCTATTTTTAGCCCATCCCTGGAGGAGCTGAGCCCCGACGGTGAATTCCTGTCCCCGGTCAGGCTGCGGGGGGCCTGCGCCCTGCTCTGGCCTAGCCACTAACACCTTCAGAGGACAGGACCCATTAGTGTTTCTGTCTCCGAGAGGAAGGTGGCTGTCTCTGGGCGTTAGGTGACTCCTCTGATGAGGCGCAGTGACAGAAAAGCCAAGCCAGCTGTAGAATCCACACCTCCAGGGCCCATCTGTACTTTGCTGGTTAGTCCCAGGCTCCCAGCCTGTGTCCCCCTTGGCTCCTGGGGCCCTCAGCTTCCCCGCCTGCCTGTCCCCTGCCCGTCCCCTGCCCCTCAGTGAGGCTCAGAGCCCGACCCTCTGCTGCGGAGAGGCTGCTCTGTCCTGTGCTGGTCAGTGCTGGCCACCTCTGTGTCTGTCACGCATCCTCCAAGGAGGTGGAACAGAAAGGTGCCCGCCGAGCCTCGGGACCCGTGATGCCATACCTGATCAGGGGCTGCTGCAGAGCCACCAGCGCGGCGTGGACGGTCACCGAGATCACTGACAGGTGGAAGTAGTCGAACATGACGGGGACCTGGTGGTGCAGGCCTCTGCGCGGGTGGAAGTGCAGGCCCAGCGTCCGGCTGCTGATCACGGGGGCCCCCACCACGTCCCTCAGCCTGGAAGGCAAGCGAACAAGCTCCGTGAGTGACAGCAACGACTTCTGCCTTCGTCTGGGCAGGTCTGCACGACAGCCCTGCCCCGGCCACCTGCCGCGCATGTCATCCTGTCCGACTCCTGCAGGTACAGTCTGGGAGAAACTGCTTTTCCCATGGCAGGCGGGTGGAGAAACTGAGGCCCGGAGAAGGGAAGACGGACACCACAGCTGCTCCCTGTCAGGTCTGCCGTCCCGGACACCATGCGCCCGTCAGTGACTGGAGACAACCTGGACTCCTTCCAGGCCACACAGGGCCCCTGCCTGGCCCGCCTTCCACACACGCTGCGTCTCCTGGCAGGTGTCCCACGCGGCGCTGCCTGCGTGAGACTGTCCTTCCCACTCTGCTCCTACCTCTTAACCTCGGGAAAGGTGACCAATTCATCTTCACGGCCCCAAGGCCTAGCCCATGGCAAACTGCAGGAGTTGGTCGAATGCTGGGTGAAAGGAGTGACTGGGGGACATATGCACCCCGTGTTCACTGCAGCATTACCTACAGTAGCCGAGATATGGAAGCAGCCCAGGTCACCAGGCCAGCGGATCGGAATGCGTGGTGCAAACGTGCCGTGGAAAGTTCCGTGGCCACAGAAGACAGTGAAATCTTACCACGTGTGACAGCGTGGGTGAACCTAGAGGGCACGATGCTGAGTAAAGTAAGTCAGAGAAAGACAGACACCACGTGACTTCACTTACATGTGGAATCTGGAAGACAACGTAAATGAACAAAACAGAAGCAGGCTCATGGGTACAGAGCCTGGTGGTGGCCAGACGGGAGGGTGGGGGCTGGGGGGAAAGGTGGGGGGTTAAGGAGCACCAACGGGCAGTTACAGAACAGTCACGGGGTGCCAAGGACAGCCCAGGAACGCAGTCAGTAATGGTGTGATGCCTGCGGTGGGGCCAGGTGGAGACCCTGGGGGACCGCTCACAAAGCGCGTGGTTGTCCAGCTGCTCAGCTGTGCACCTGGGCAACACAAAATAATACCAAACAGAAACTAATAGAAAGAAAAGCATTTTTAACAAGAGAAAGAAGGAATGACCCCTGGCTCCCAAACAGAAGGGTAAGTAATCTGACAAGTTCATCAAGTGCCCCCTGACCCCTTCCTGTGCATTTTGTCATTGGGATGCATCTGGTTCCTGAGAGAAAGTGACCGCAAGCAAGGCTCAGCCGTCTGTGGTCAGCCGGGCGCTCACACCCCTGGCTCCATGGTCTGCTCTGCATCCCTGCACACCCCACCGTGGAGCCCTCGGGCACAGGTGCAGGGGAGCCACAGACATGACCTTGGGGCTCGAACAAGGGAAGGTGAAACAGACATCGGGGGCAAAGGTGCGAGAGCGTGAACAAGAATTCAAGCGGCCTCCATAGGAGTAAAGCAATCAGAAACAGGGAGGAGATGGGTCTGGTGTGCTGTGTAAGGGGCAGACCGAGGAGTGTAGGAAGCTTAGCTCTGGCAGGGGTGGGGGGAGGACTGATTCTCAGCTTAGACGGGGTGGGGAGAAACTTGAGGCACTGGGAGCAGGGTGCCTGGGTTCTCCTACAGCAACGGAAACACAAAACGAGGTCACACACACAGGGAATGACATTTCCCTGGAGAGAGAGAGGTGGCCGAGGTCTCGTTGATGTGCACTGTCACCCGGCCTCACTGTCAAGGCGAGACAGTGTGGAGGGACCCTCGAAGGCAGGAAGGATTTCCTGCTGGGCAGGGCCGTCCAGGGACAGGGTGGGCATGACGAGAGGGGGTGGGCACCAGCGTGTGCCCCTAGGACTTTGCAGAGGCGCCAGTGCTGACGTGAGGCTAGACGAGAGCAGCGTCCCTCACCCCAGTAACACTGTCGTTAGGGGCAGAATAATGCTGAGCTGGGTGAGGGTGTCATCCTGTGATTTGCAGAACACTTAGCAGCACCCCTAAACTCTATCCGCTGTGCCTGGGTAACAACTCCAAGTGGCCACACACATGGAGAGATGTCCCCAAGGGTCAGGCTCACTGCCAACCCCACAGTGAGCCCCTCTACCCCTGACACCACATGTCATATTCCTCTACGTTGTCCCCATGCAGACCTGCACAGGTCTGGAGCCGCCGTCCACCTGGGTGACATGCCAAAGCCTGACGTCTACACCCGGGATGCCCTGCGGACGCTTCGTCATCCTTAAACCCGGTTTATGAAAACATGCGGCATTTTTGATTCCTCCGCAGCTGCTGTCTTCCTGTTCCTCTCAGCTAATCTGATACTCCGCAGAAGCCTGCCCCGACGGGCATTGAGTGCTTTGTGTTGTGGGGAGGAGATGCCACACAGTGGCCACGCCCTTGGCTGGTGTGGGTACGTCTCCCTTCATGGTCACAACAGACCTAGGAGGTGCGTGGTCTACAGTGACCCCACTTTACACACCAGGCTGCTGAGGGTTAGAAAGGGACGGGGACTTGCCCATGGAGCAGATGAGCGCAGAGCCCAGGTGGCCGAACGGGACCCATCTCGTTTGGGTCCATCCCCTGTACACAGGCTCTGCACTGACTGCTGTCTCCACCATGATTTGTCACCAAGGCGGCCTGGAGGGCCCGGTGGGGCAGGACTTCTAGCATGAGTTCGGGGTCAGTGGCAGGGTTCTGAGGTGACTGGGAATGTCTCTGCGGAGCGATGGGTGTCTCTGAAGGAAGTGGGTGTAAGACAGGGCAGGGGACGGTCAGTGAAATAAGTAAATGGAAGAAATCCCACAGGGTTCAGTGGGGACACGAGATCAGTGCAGGCGGGGCTCAGCTTTTGAGTTCGAAGGTTAGGAACTGCCACCGTCTTGAAGGGCTCTGCGCTCCACTTGGTGCTAGAGTGACGATTCTGGGACACGGCGGCGAGAAGGTGAGACGTCTCAAGCACCCTCCATCCCACCAAGGGGTAAACAGAAGTGATGCGGACAGCAGGGGGCTGGAGGGCCTGGGGGCCCACACAGGAGTGAGGACCCTGATGTCCTGCCCTGACAGCCCGGGCAGCACCACGGACAGAGGCTCCGACAGCCCAGAGTCACTACCATCTGCACACCAGCGATGTCTGTCCTCACTGGGCACCACCGTCCAGTCTCTGATGGCTGGGCAGTGGCCCACCTGGGGCTCAGAACCCCCTACCTCAACTCTCCTCCTTATGGAAGCTCCTGTGACAACCAGACACATCTCAGGTAAGGACAGTCTGTGAGAAGGGGCGTGGCAAGTTCCGATAGGGCGTCTGGGCTCTGGGGCGGGGGGAATTGAAAGACTATTCTGCTAGCTCTAGCCCATTGGCCCCCGATTCCCCATTCCCCATGGGGTAAGGTGACATATTGCTGATGACACTGTGGAGACCAGAACCGGGGATCAATCCAGGGTGGCCAGAGCATCCTGAGGTTCTGCCGGCACAACCGATGGAAAGGGAGTGGCCCCCACGACCTAGGCCTGATGAGAGGGGTCTTCAAGTGAGCTCGCCCTGCAGCTCCTAGAAATGGGGACCCTGGGCCTGGGTGCCTGACAGATCCTGCAAACGTCCTCAGGAGAGAAGCTGAGGGCGGCGGCTGCATCAGCCAAAAGACTGAGCCGCAGAGCGGGGGAGGGGACCCCACCAGCAGACGGAGGGTTAGAGGGTCTGGGTTCACTTCCCAAAGGGCAGGTGTGGGTTCTTTTGAGAAGAATCTTATGAGCTTCCTGCAAGGAGTGAGTGAGCCAACCATGGGAGGGCCTCGCAGCATCACAGAAGCACGGGGAGGGGCTGGAGGGCTGCCCGACAGTGCCATCTCCAAGGAACGGTGATGAACACCATCAGCAGTGCCAAGGATGAGGCGCCTCCCTCTGCACCGTGCGGAGAGCCCGTTAGCAAGTGAACCCATGGGCTCCGACTCCGCACCCGTGCCATCTCCTCGTCCTCACTGCACCCGACCTACACAGCCTGCACCCCCCGGCGGGGAGGCGGGAAGGACACACGGCATCCTGCTTGCCAGGGAATCCCCGCCTCGGACAGGGCTTGGGGCCCGGCGGGCGAAGCAAGGGGACAATGACAATGAAAAGAAGCTGTGAACTGGGTGAGAGTTTGGAGGTCTGGTCCTACACTTGACCCGATTTGTCAATGCCTGGAAATGAGGACTACTTATTACCCACCCTTCCCCCACCCCCCCAAATCCTGGAGAGGCTCTGGCTATGCCAGGTGACCATGGGACGGGAGGTCAAGCCCACAGAAGCAGCGCAGAGGGAGCAGTTCCGGGAAAGAGCAGAGCACCTCCTGCCTGTGCAATCAGCCGTCACACGCGAAGACAGCTTCAGTGTCAGACGGCAGGGACCCAACAGCGGGTGTTCGCGCCAAGTTGTGGGGATCCCCGCAGAACCTCCTTTGAGTCAGAAGGGGCCTTGAGGTTTGCCAGCTCAGAGATGCCTGAACGTAAAAACCTAACAAACGCCGCAAAGGAAATGCATGGAGGGGCCAGGCAGGAGGAGGTGCAGGCCCCTAAAGCCAGGAGTCAGGGGCGTCCTGTGCCTGAAGTGCAGGGTTTGGAGTGAGTGACCAGGCAGCTGAGCCCACACTTCTGGGGAGGCCGTGGGCGTGGTCAGGGCGCAGCAGCTGATCAGCGTATTTCTGAGGATGTCCTGGGGTTCATGGCCATGAGGATGCCCCAGGAGGCGGGGATGCCACACCACAATCCAAGGGTTTTGGGGACACTCACTGCTGCTCACTGTCCGTAAAGTGCAGGTCCACCCTGAGCTGGAAATCGACTTCACTCAGTGCCTCTTCCACCTGGGGGACAGAAAAAGTTCAAGGGAATTCAGGGGGTCGAGTCTGGCCCAAGTGAAAAATTCAGCCGGTCCCTTTCCCAAAGTTCAGAATGGGGATCTCACCACGAAGTTAATGGGTTATGATTAAAGCAGAATTTCCACATATGCTCTGTGGAATTCTGACCGAACAGGATGTTTATGAGCATTACGTGGAAAACAGGAAGGACCGATGTAGTCCAATTTGGGGGAAATCCAACCTACAAAAAAACGCTACTGAAACCATTTTTCTGTGTGGCAGGGCTTTTGAGAGACTTCCTCTGCCAACACATCCCGTCTGGAGCTGCTCTGAGCAGGGCGTAGTGACCCAGCGCAGCCCCCCGTGGGGACAATGGGGCAGGGAACCCGCTTGGTTAGCGACGGTGGTAACATCGGAGGTGTGGTCCCCTCTGCCCTCCGGCACCCTAGCCTGCTCCCACCACTGTCCAGGGGCAGAGAGAGGCCAACGATGCTGGGGAAGGCAAGTCATTTCCCAAGGCGGCTCCGAGTCCTAAGACAGCCCATCCTTTGTCCTGAGGGCACTTCCATGTCACCATTTATTCTCAAAGACACTTGAACATATTGTGTCCTCTCCAGGGCTGCATCTATTCTTAGCTTTCAAAAAAATCTGTTTTCATTAATTAGCACAGGAATCTATCTGTCTGTTGTACCTGCCAGGTTCTCGCGTACCTGCAGTAGATGCTACTCCGCCCCCACGGGATACACCTCCCCTCCCCTCCCCAGAGGGAGCTGCTTGCTAAATACCAGACCTCACCTCAAAAAACGCAGGTCAGATCTGTCCCTGGCTCCTCCCCCTCCCGGGCTGGGCAGAGCCCTGCAAAGCACAGAACCCTAGTTTGTTTGACCTTGGCATTCAGTGCTTCCTGTTAAATGTGCTTCAGGCTTATGACCTGGAAGCGTGCGAGTCCAGTTTCATCTGGAGACACAAGTGTTTTAGCACTCGTAAAGTTGCAAACGTTTAAAAATCAAGCAGTTTTACATTTCTATCATGGGTTTCAGCTTATGAGGGAACAAAGAAGGAAGAGGGAGGGGAGGAGAGAGAGGAGAAGAAAAACCAACCCAACAACAACTCAACCACCCGGCCGTTTCTGTCGCCCAGTGGCCCAGTAAGTGCTGTCAGGAAGGGCGAGACTCGTCTTCACTCCTTCTGGGTCCCCAGCTCCAGGAATAGAGCGTGCCCTACAGAAATATTAACGTGTCTTGAGGAATAAATAGAGCTCTTCTTCACCCTCACCCTTCTTGGGTTTGTTTCTTTGCCAGAATGTTCTCATCTACAGGGAAGGAAATCTCTCACCTACCTACAGGCCTCTTCGGAAAGAAGTTTCTGGTTAAGCATAGCTCAGGCAGAGACATATGGGTGGAATTTATCTTTAGGTCCCTGGTGTTTTAAAATTTGTTGTAAAAAAAGCATTTAAAAGTTAACATTTTGCTGATCCAAAGGCTATGAATAACTTCGTCTCCTAGCTTTGTTTTGCATAATCAGGAAGCTCGCTTTGTACACACAGCCCCAAGCTCGGCAACCTCCCGCCGCCACTTCCTGGGGGGAGAGCCTGGCCAAGCGCAGCCCCCCACCCTCTTCACAGCTCCCAGTGGAGCCTGAGCCGTATCCACCGCACACTCCGGTGCCTCACCTGCCCGCCACGCCACTGGAACCAGGGGACAAGTCCTGGGCCGAGCCCGGCTGTGATGTCACCGATGTCTCAAAAACTATTTCATTTCAAGGAGCTCCAGTATGAAGTCACTGGCTGCTCTAACCACTCATTTTCTATTTGGCTGTTGGCTTCCTGCCCTGCCCTCCAAACGCACATGTTCACACGTGCACACACATGCTCGCTCACACACTCACACACACAGTACACGGTCCTTCCATCAATCAGGCTGCCTCGTTTTGGTTAACACCTCACCTCCCTTCAAAGGTCATTTTTTCCCAGCATCCGGAAGCAGTTTTGCATATAGTGGTGGAAATACCAGTAGCTAGTACTTAGGGAAGACTCACTATGTAGCTCCCATGATCTGATTTAATATGCACAAAACTATGAATTCAGAAGCATCGTCTCCACTTTCGAATGAGGACGTTGAGGCTGGGTGTGGCAGAGCCACTCTCCAAAGCCTGGGAAGTCAGACATGATCTGTTCCCCTTCCTCCTGTAAGCATCCGGTCCACAGTGGCACCCCTTCGCCCCGGCTGCTGGGGCGCTCAGCCCCTCGAGTGCGGGCCAGCGTGGGCAAAGGCCCAGCTCCCTGTGTGTTTCCGTTCCACTGACCCTGGGCTTCCCCCTTTCTGTTTTCCTGTGCTCCTGCTCATTCTATTGCTACTTTACTTCCTTTTACTAGACTTGCTATTCTGTAAGCTTTACCAAATCTTCTGGGGGATTACATGGAGTGTTTAAAATAAAATACCCACCCTGCCTCCACACCCCCGCTCCTCACGACCATCATTAAAACATCCCGTCTTATGCCTTGGGCTTCGATTGCTTTGGTCCCCAGTCACCTCTTGCACTAACGTGCTGTGTCCTCACTGAGCAGACTGACTCTTCAGGGCTGCGTTTCCCACAGCACGCGGAACATGGGCTCGATGCATGGGCCTTGCCAAAATGTCTGTCTCCAATGATGGCTGTGTGCGCACATGACCGTGAACTCTGGCCCTCAGGCTGCCAGCAGCACTTTGGGTGTCGTAAGCAGACAGACAGTTGCTGGGTAAGAGTTAATGGGTCCATTGTGGCCATGCAGTTTTATGGGAATATCCAATTAACTCTCATTGTCGCCGATTTGTATACAGTGATCAACGATAACATCACTGTGGATTACCCCAAACACAGGCCTAAACTGTCAGCTTGTGGAGACAAGTGAGTTCACCTGCAGAACGAAACAAGACACACTGTCCGGTTGACACCCTGTTCAACCTCAGCACTCAGGCCGGTGACAGCCGGCCATGAGCCAAGCCTGGGTGTCGGGAAAACCAAACAAGAAAGGCTTTAACCTGCCGGGGCCGGAGCAAGACTCCAATGGGATCGGGATGGAATAGTGACCGAGGTGCCCGAGGGAGGCCCAGACCCAGCCTGCAGGGACAGCCGCTCTGCTCAGGAAGGTCCTTGAGACCAGTGACAGTGGCCCCCTAGAGAGAAGGTGCCCTCCTGACCACCATTTGGGGAAATGGGCTTGAGCACCAACCCAAGTTCCTCAACACTCAGCCCGGGGCTCTTTCCCGGCCTTTTCCTTGACAAGCAGGGCCAGGGAAGGAAATGGGTGACATGGTCAAGGTGAGGACTCCAAGTGCAGTCCCTCAGAGGAAGAATCCACAGACCCTCCGTGCACCAGGGCTGCCTCACCCCCGGGTGGGCAGGGTCCGGCAGGAGTGATGGTCCGAACTGGACAGGGAGCTACCCGGCATGGCCCTCGCCTGGGGCCTCTGGTAGAAGGACATGGACTGGCGGGATGGCGAGCACTGGACACCCGCCTCTCTGGGGGGTGACGGAAACCCTGATTTGCAGCCCTGGCCACTCCTGGGGGTGAACTTGTCCACCACAATCAGCTTCCACTGAGTGGTGTGAGGCCATTGAATGTGGAGCTGGAAAGAGGTGTGAATCCGCGGCTGCCAGGGTCAAGCTGGCCTCAGCACACCAATGGACGTAGGCCAGTTGGTGACCAGGCACTCACGGAGCCCGGGCTGGGATACGCTGCCGTGTTCTCCTCTTTTCCTCCAGTCACCTGCAGGACCTCTCACGGGCCAAGCCCAAACGGGACCCAAAAGGTCAAGATACAGCTGATGGGCGTGGGCAGGCGGCAGCCTCCAGGGTCCGAAGCAGGTGGGGGAGGTGCACAGGAGAGGGAGAGAGCAGAGACAAGACAGGTAGCACAGCTGACCGGGCCACTCTGGTCTTCTGATCCACATTCTAGAACAAGTGCCAGTGGCCACTGTGAGGCACAAGGCAGACAGGCATCAGGCTGACCCCTCTATTTGCAAAGGAGGGCGTCCAAATAGGGGACTCTAAATTCGATTTTTCCTTCTCCCAGCTAAGGCACCACCCACTCGTTATTTGTGAGACACCCCAGTGCAGGTGTATGGCAGGTGGCAGGATGCAAAGAGAGACAGGAGGTCCAGCCCCGACCAGCCTGTGGGCGGGAGGGTGGCCGCATTCTGAAATCAAGCCCGTGCCACTCACTGCATCTTTCCAAGAAAACTGCCGGCCGTCCAGTGCCCGACAACACACTCTGCTTCCCTTCCCATGGCCTTCGGTGCTCGTCCCTGGCCTTGATGCCCACCTGCCTCTCCAGCCTCGTCTTCCGCCCCATTCCCTGCACCCACCGGGCAGGTCACCTCGGCCCCACTGCTTCTCCTGGAGCCACCCGCCTCCTTCCCACCTCAGGGCCTCTGTCCCTGCCGAGCCACTCCAGGGAGGCCCTGCACCCAGGCTCTCAGCACGCCAGGCTCCTCCCCAGCACTCGGGTCTCAGCTCCTTCCTTGGTGGCCTCGCTGGGAGGCCTCTCCTGTCACTTGTCTTCCAGGGAACAATCTCCATCCTTGTGGAGTCGGGTTGAAGCCGAGTGCCGGGCAATCTCATTATCGGAGCATCTACCAGGAGGCAGCGGCAGGCCCTGCAGAGTGGGCGGGCCAGGAGGCCTCTCCCCCAGGCCTCGACCCGGGGACCGAGCTCCTCCTCGTCACGCCCCTGGGAATTTATCTCATCTTCAAGCCAGCTGAGCACACAGCAGTAGGAAGGCCCAGGGACAGAGGTCCATGATTTATTTATCAGACCACATTGGCATGCATCGATCTAACATCAACACAGAAGCCCCGAGACACCAGGAGTATTTTCTTACTTGCTATTTCATCTTTAGTCCATGACAGGTGTGCGTGATGGGAGCTCAGTAAAGCGTTGATGGAAGGATGCATTGATGAAGGAAGAATGAGCGAGAATGCCTCCCCTCCAGACCACCTCACAGGGCACGTGGCCACTGCCTGGACCACAGAAGATGAGGACAAGAGCCACGGGGATGAGAGCAGGATGTCAGGTGGCCAGGAGGTGTGCTTCTGCGCACCACTTGGGGACGCCTCTTACGAGGCGTTCTGGGCCGGGAGCACACCTCCACCTTACTAACGGAGGGTCCGGCAGGAAATTCGCTGCTGGAATGCGGTGATGGGGGGTGGAGGTGGGACCAGGGGCCTGGCAGCTGTGGTCTGGACCTCAGACATTCCTCTGATGGGCAGGCATTAATCTGATGGATGAGGCCCCGGAGCTTTTACTCATGCTGTTCCCTGCTGAGATGCCCTTCCCCTCTCTCAGTCGGCCCCACTTCCAGCCTGTGCTTCTCAAAGCCAGCTGCTTGGAGAAAGCACTGACCCCTCCCAGAGCCCACCTGTTCCTCCTCGGAGCACTGCTGCTCCTCCATCCACACAGCAAGCACAGTGGGTGTCCTTGATCTGGGTGTGTGTTGACACACTGCCAACACTGCATTCCTGACTGTTACCGATGCCTGTAGGGCAGGGGGCCTGCTCGCTGCCTTCTTCAGGACCCCCCCTCACCCAAAGCCTGCACCTCGATCCCTGCACAAAGCAGATACTCACAGGGCACACCTGGACCGATGAGCAAAGGGGCAAAGGGGAAGTGAGAAGGAAAGTCAGCAGGTCAGGCAATGGGAACTTCCTGGAAGAGGAAATGAGCGAGTGTGGGCGTGGAAGAATGGGCGTGCCGAAATGAGCAGGCACAGGTGGGTCCTGCAATTGTGGACTCCCCATCTGTCAGACTGCACAGCGAATCTATGGCTTCAGTGGCCGTCCACCCCTCAATGGGGAAGACAGGCGCAGGGGAGGGACAGCTCACAGCTGCCGGTGGATCCCACAACTCACCCGTTCACCATCCAAGAGCAGGTGAGCGCGGAAGAGGGCGACGTCGCTTATGGGCACCTCCTCGTTCCTGTACAGGATCTGGAAGATGCGGCTGTGCACCGTGCTCTCGCAGACGCAGGCCGAGTACAGACTGCTGCTGTCTGCAAGACAAGAATCCACAGGCGTCCATGAACCCCAGGACCATCCGGGGCCCCCTCAGGTGTCTGTCCAGCTCAAGGAAAGTAACGGCCCCAAACCGCATTCCACGCCCAAAGATCAACACCAGAGAAGAACGAGATGCCATCATGTAACGATTTCTGTTCATCGAATGGGCTGGCAGCTCAGTGACCCTGGCTCCGCCCCTTACAGGCCACATGACCTTGGCCAGATCACTTGCTACACTGTCGGCCATGCTAAGTTCCTTACGTGCGGATGTGTCCCCTCCTCCGTGAAGCCCTCCATGACCTTCTCCCTCAGAAACAATGAGGAAGCTGTGGACAGAAACTGCCCTTCGTCTACAAGGACATCCTAGTGCCCACAGAGTCATCCTCTTCTGGAAGTGGCATTTGCACAATACGAAAAGCACTCTGTCTTGAGTTTTAGGCAAATGTGCTCATTCTAATTGCGTTACATACCAAAATTTTTTTAAGGGAACTTGAAAAAATGGATCTCACTCCACTGGATGGGATCCCATCCAATGGACCCCATCTCCGTGTCCTCCAATATGCTCCAGATCTACCCTGATCCCTCAAGACCATTTCAAAGTTAGGTTGAACTTGGAGATGACACATGTAACCGATGAGCTTAGGAGACCTTCACCGCTGACCAGGGCCATCTCGGAGCACAAAGGGCGAACACCCTCAAATCACCTCACACATACCCTGCCCAGTCAGGAAAATACAGGACTGTTCTAGAATAATCAATGCTCATATTTACATAAGACAATGATTCCCTTCTAACTGTGGCCACCGACTTGTACGTCACAGCTTCCTAAATGCTTTGGAAGGCGCTCCTGTCCGCAGTCCTCGCAGGCAGCCCCTGGGCTAAGTTTGACTACAAACAGGAAGACCCAGGTCCCGAGAAGAGGCAGGGTCCTACTGTCTGCGGTGCCACAAGGCTCCGTGTGGACTCCTCCTCACGTGTATCTGTGTGACACCTGAGAAAACAGTCTCAAATCAACGCACACGAAGCGAAACAAAAAGCACCCCCTGCTCGGCAGAAGGCTGGCGCTCCAGAAAGCCCCACTGGAAAACGGAATAGCATGTTTACAAAGGGAGCCAAGAAAACAACGAACATCCATCCAAACAGCAAAGGAAAAACTGCTCTGGTACCTTGTGTACTGTTCCCAGACGGCTTAGAGTCCCTTGGAAACAAGGACAAAACGTCCCTGTCACCTCCCAGCACACAATGACATTAAGCCAACACCTGCCTCGTAGCTGCTGAGTAGGAGGCAGAAACAAGTAAAAGCCCAGCTCATTCCCAAGGCTGCTCGGAGGCACCTGCTCTGACTGGGACTTGGTCTGAAGGGTGTGGCGTGCCTGGCCTGTGCGGCCCTTTGAACCTGTTGGACTCACGGCGATGCGCCTTCAGGAGCCGCGCTCCTCGTGTGCAGCCGCCCCTCTGTTTCTCATTTGCTGCGCTGGCCCTTTATCACTGTCAAGGTCTAGTTCGTCCATCAGCCAGACCGACACCGTGGCAGAGGACAGAAGGTCAGAGCAGCCCGAGGAGGAACAGCCAGCACGACAGTCCAATCACTCACCTTCCTGGGCAAGTGACATCACCCCTGTGATAGCAGCTTTCCATGTGACAAATGGGCACATCCACATTGACCTCCTGGGGCCAGCGCGGACATAAAGAGGATAAAATAAATCCAGGGTCTAAGACCAGGCACGTAATGCTCAGCAGAACGACGTTTTAATCGAGTCCAGGCACAGGCCTGAGCCCTGTCGGTGGGCTGCACTGTCACTGGCCGCATTTCCACGGTGGACTGAACTCCTCCGACTTGGAGCAGATGACGAACCAGGCCGCAGGACTCAGCGGTCTCTGCAGAAGGTCACCAAATCCCCCAGTGCACCGTGACGCCCAGGACGAGGCATCACTTACACCCGATGGGACTTCCCGTGTGATTTTCTCGTCACTATTAAGTAGGACATAAAACAGGTGTCTTCTTGCAGGAGGAGGCTCACTGATCACGGGGAGCCCGGTGGGACGGTGGGCATCGCGGGGACAGTGCCTGCCCGCTTTGTTCCCACCGAATTCTCCCTCCTTAGACAACCCGCACTTGGACGCCACGCCCTTTATCCTGCCCACCCGCTCGCCCTGACATTGGGGAGGAAGTGCTACTTTCTTCTCCCGGGCAGGGCGCTCCCTAGGATGTCCTGTGCGGCTCTCCTGCTGGCTTTGCTGAGCCCTGCTCGGCAGACAGAGGGCACCAGGTACCTCCCGTGCTGCTCCCCACCCCTCCTGGTGCACCCCGGCCCTGGGCACCCAGAGGTGCGGGAAGCGTATGCTCTCCGAGCCCCAGAACCCCTTGCTCACACGGTGGTGCGCTGCTCCTTTCTAGCTGTGAGGTAAGAACCACTGTTTATTCACTGTTTGGCGGCCAGCTTTCTACGGAAGCGGTCCAGTGGGAAGGGGCAGATCACAGATTTCTGAAATGTCCAACTCTTTGTGTGTCGGGGTTGGCACCACAGGAACACATCTGAAAGCGGGGTTGGCACTTTGAAGGGAAAGACAGGCGGGAAAGGAAGTGAGAGGAGGAGGAGGGGGTGAAAAAGAAATAGAGGGGGTGGTTAGAGGAAGGAGAGCAAGGCACAGGAGGAGGAGGAGGAACTAGCCAAGGGTCCCACCCCACCGCGTAAGAATCCACTGCACACAGCCTCACCTGGAACTGCAGGCCGGAAGGCAAGGGGAAAGCCCTTTGGTTCTCAGGTTTCTCTTCCCAGTGACATGTTTTATCCACACTCTGTGTATCTACATACCTCTACGTGTTTACAGCTCGGATGCAGACCTTCCCGAGGCTGAGCGCTCTCCCCAGCCCCACGGTCTCTGTGAGTGCGATTACAAAGTTTCGGTGCCATTCGCGCGGCGTGAGTTCTCTTCCCAGAGTCCGGGCCAACACTGATCCCCTGGCCCCGAGCCCTCTCCCATCCTGAGAACATGGCTGAGCACAGAGGGGCCCCCACAGAATCAGGGTTGTGCCAAACAGTCAAAACGCTGGGACAGCCCCTCCACCCCCCAGGTGTGAGGGCAGCTGGGTGAGTCTGTGACCGGTGCAGGTGCCGGAAAGCTACCACTGGACTTCTTCCAACCCAGGCCTCGCCCGCATGGGAGAATCGTCCAGCACGCTGGTGCTCGTGGTACTGGAAAAGCCAAGTTAGATTCTAAGCAGCTCAAGGTCAAGACCTTGGCTTTCTTATGATTTAGAACAGGACCTCCTTCTGTAAGGCAAGCGTACATTCTAGACTTGCCCACCCACTTCTGCGCTCTGTGCCCTTGGACGGCCATTAAATCTGAGCTTAATGAGGGAGAGTCACGCCCTGCCTGCTCTTCATAACAAACCAAAGGCTCCGATGAGACGAGGAGCCAGGAAGTATGTGGCCAGCTGCACAATTCTTCAAAACCCAAGTGGATTTCCTGCGGAGCTGAAGATGGAAGTGGCTATGATTCCTTATGCCAGACAGTCTCTGCCTGCATCTAAGAACAGGACGACAGAAAGGCCCCTTGGAGCCGAGCTTTATTGCTCTTTTCTAACCACGTCAGAGAGCAGGCAGAAGAGAAAGCCACCTCGAAGTGGGGGCTCACTGTCTCCCCAGGAAACGGCGGCAGGAGCTTCCCTAACGTGGGCTGTTTTCTGACTGGCAGGCAGAGTGGACACACCACCAGGGCGAGGGGCTAGAGCCTCTGTGACTCCAAGAACGCTGCTACCTCTCCTGGAGACCTTGTCACCACGGCCCAGGGGACCAGGGTGCAGAGGGAGAAGGGAGACCCCTAGGAGAGAAGGGGACAACACCCTGGTGACTGTGTCTGGAGCCCGGAAGCTGGGGAGACCTATCTCCCCGAGGTGTCAGCACGTGGCGTGCATCAGGCATGGACAGGTGTTTCCGGGAACAGCAGTGCCCCGACGGAAGCTGGGCCCCGGATGGTGCCCCTGGATGCTCGCCACGGCCCAAGGTTCAGGAGTGAGAGGCTGGGTGGGCGACGCCGTGGCCTGCAGTCCCATCTGGCACAAAGCTCGAGCTTTGAAGAGCAATGGTGGGGAACAAGGACATTATCTAAAGGGGTAAAACCTGGGCTCCTGAGGCGTGGGCCCTCAAGGCCCAGCAGGCCCCTGGTCCAGCATGGAGTGCACTGTGGAGGGTGCGGCAGTTCCCCCAACCGACTGTCGGGCACATGTCCCCAGACCCCCAGTGGCTGCCCGAAACCCCAGGTAGACCCTAACCCTACACAGGGCGGGCAAGGAGAGGTTACGGTTCTTCGTATGGAAAAGGCGTGCAGGTTATGATGCTTTACAATGGCTCTGTTAACTCAAAAGCACATCCCAGTACAACTGGACACCACTGTTGTCCACACCTGCACTTACTGTTTTTCCTGTAAAAAAGTTTAATTTATGAATTGGTCATAGTAAGGGTTTAACAACAACTAATGATGAAGTGGAACAATAAAACAAAACTTATTGACTGTGGCATGTTCTTCCTCACCCAAGGGTATGTGCATTGATTTGAGAGAGCCAGAGAGGGAGAGAGAGGGAGAGGAACATCGATTGGTTGCCTCCCCCACGTGCCAGACCAGGGATCAAACCCACAACCCAGGAAAGCACCCTGATGGGGAATCGAACCTGCAACCTTTTGATTACAACATGACACGCCAACCCTCTGAGCCACACCAGCTAGGGCCGACTGTGGCATTTTAATCACAGCAAGGGTGACCGAAGGTGGGCCCTGCGATGCTGCCACAGTCCATCAACCCGGACACAGCACAGTGACCAGGGGCAGACCTGCTGGACAAAGGGATGACTCACATCCAAGCACGATGGTGACATTTCAACACGCTATTCAGAACGGGCGCTATTGAAAATTTATGAACTGTCTATTTCTGGAGGTCTCCATTTAGCACTTTGGACTGTGCTGGACTGTGGGTAAAGGAAAGCACAGACCGTGGA